TCTAATACAGAGAGATATTTGAGAGAGATTTTGCATACTTGGAGAGATTTGGGAGAGGTTTGACATAGAGAGAGATAGTGTGGAAACGATTGAGAGAGGTTCCATGTGGGATAGTTGTGAGTGCCCGACATCGAAATGCATGGTTCGTGAACCCTGTTAAGCCTTGTTTAAGGATCTTACACACTCCCGATGAGTATGCAACATTGTTTTATCGGTCTAGTTCATTGATTAGAACTAGGGTTTAGGAAATTTTTAACACAAGACTTTTCTCAAGTGATGTTTTCCCATTAATATAGCAAGTTATACAGTATGAACATAACACAAACCCTAATACACAAGGTTTAATCGAGTTGACCAGCTTGACTTGATGACTTGACTTGACTCAAGATTGACGATTGTCACAAATTATCAAAACCATAGTCACAAGACAAGGATAATGACAAATCCAAACTCATATGGATTGAACTCAATCTTAATTTCTTGCCATCTGGCAGCTCAAGGGCCTGCCATTACTTCCAAGTTGTTATGCAACCAATTGAGAACTGTAAGAACTCATATGCAAATCCAACTTTAACTGGAATGGGCATAGAATATTTCAACATGATAGGTTATAAACCTCAAGTCGTGTGCTAGTGAAGAACTTCATGTTCTATTCTTGATTAGTTCTTGAGACTTTCAAGACCTTTAAGACTCCCACTGTCCTCTTGACATATAAGACTCTCTTGTCAGATATTCAAGAGATAGTGTGGATTCTAATAAAGACAAACACTTCACACAATTGGCATTAATTGGTCTTTGCTTTATCCAAAACATCACAACTTACCAATTTCAAATGTACAAGAGTAGAAAACTTTTACTCTTACATTTGACAAGTGTTTTAAACATTCTTTAATACATGTCACTCAAATTACAATCTTGGAGTATGACTCTAAGAATTGTATTGGAACAGAGTATGACTCATCTTCTTGATTTAACCATTTCAACAATTCAAGTTCCTCTTCTTAGTCATAAGAATGCACTAAGATTTCCTTAGAGAACTAATTTTGACATGGTTTCTTAATCATTAAGATGATCACAAAACTGATACTAAAATACTCTCCCATCTTTTCAGATTTGAGAAACTTTTAACTTTCTGCCTAAGTTGATTCTTCTTATTCGTTCTGTCATACATTGGAACCTTTTCCAATGTTTCAGAATTATACTTAAACTTGTAAGTATAACCATATTATTGAACTTAAGTAAATCATGACGAATAGTCTTGTCGATCTTTTGTGGTGGACTTAATCAGTGCACAAGAATGTGTACTCGATCCCTTAGTCCTTTACATGACTCACACATCCATGTGAGCAAGTAATTAGTTCTAATTTTCCAATACTCAAAAGTTCTCATTCACCATGCTATACAACATGCATGATTCTAAGCTTCTATCCTATTGAAACTTGGGTGATGAGAATCTTTCCTTATTTGGTAAATTTAGACACTACCACAAATGAAAGAATAAAATTCATATTTCCACTCTTGCTCTTAATGGAATCTTATAAGCAACAAAAATTTCCACAAATGCCATTGTAAGGATATTTTAAAATAAATAAAATCAAATTTTCCTTTTATTTTAAAAACTTTGCGTAAAAAACTAATCCTTACAATGCAAATGTGTATGAAAACTTGTTGTTATCTATTCCTAAGAAATTTATCATAACTCCTAAGAAGTAGCTCAAGAATCCAAACTTCAAACTATGCGATAGAAATCCATTTACGCGATCAGATTCAACATATTCTTTCTTTAAGTTTTCTTCAGTTCTCTTTGTTTCTTAAAACATCAACATGTGACCCAGTCACATCATGTATCAAGAAGCTCAGAATAGAAACTTAGCAGAGTTAGATAGTGGAATTTACCTAAAGTAGAGTCAAACTTATTGACTTTAACATCCTTAGGTAAATTGGCAGCTTCGCAACCAATGTCCCTTCCTTTGGCAATTTAACATATGGACACTTTGGTAATGGAACATGGGACTATCACAGACTTAGCCTTCCTCTTTACCATTTGGTCAACCAAGTTGACTATGGCCGATCCCTTTCCACTGGGAAGAGAGAGCTTTACTAGATATTCAACGTCATCATTGTCAATGTCCATAAAGTTTTAGGAAGTTGATCTTAGCAAATAGATAAGATCATTAAGGGTCTTGTCATAGTGTATTTCATAGGTGTTCCAAAAGAACTCACTATGTGACTTAGAAAGTAGTTGTACCACCAACTTTCCCACGACTTTGACACCCAACTCTCCCAGCTTGTTAATATGTGACTACATCTCCAAGATGTGACCGCACATAGACCTTTATTTGCCAATAGGGCTTGAGTGACCGTAAACTTTTCAAGAACTTGTGGGTTAGGGAGAATAATTGTAGGAGGTGAAAGAAGTATGATTTCCATGGGACATCATCTTCATTTAGGAAAGATTGTTTCAAGAGATTTGGGAAGATCATAAATGTCTAAACCAGACATCTTTTGGGAGATATTCAAGACAGTTGATTAAAAGTCCTTAATATAACACCCAATATGAGATATTAAGGCTAGGACCCTACAAACTATTTTATAACTCGGAAGAGGGATGCCGTAATCCAAGCTATAAAATATTTGAAGGTAGGTGAATGACGATTCACCAATTTCCACAAAGATAAACGAAATGTATTATTAGGTTTTAATTAGTTTTGAAACTCCTAGATTCTTTTGAGATTCATTGAACTGTTCAATGGCATGTTTCAATCTCGAGTGTGCCCTTCAGGTTTTGTGACTGGGATGCCGAGGATCACAAAACAAGGTGTGAAGTAACCATGAAAATTACTTGGTACCCTTAAGTGTTTACCCCTCAATCGATGTGTCGGTTAACCACACATGCTCCATCAATACTATGATAAACATTAAGTTACCCTTTGCCTACCTTGTTAAATACGAGTTAGTGTGTCGGTTAACCACACACGCTCCACTAACCGACTTAAACAAAGTGCAAAGTGTAATTTCATGGATTAGCACCTTATTCACATTTTCCTAAGTAACTAAGATTGGGTATTATTAAGAGTTTAGTTACTTCGTATTTATCATTAATACTTTTAATGAAGGCAGAATTATAGTCATGTCAAACCCGTTCGGCTAACGACCCTCCACCGGTCAAGGAAGCGGTGGGTGAGAGTGGACACCCATTAAGTTGCCATTTTATAGGCAACAACCTTATCCCCCCCCCCCTTATAGATCGGCTTCGTGAATGAGGTCTACTAACGGTAAGACTGACTTGCTCTTATACATATATATATTATTATTAACTTATAATATTATAATAGTATAAGGGTTGAATTTTAACTTTTAAAATTCTAAGGGCTTAGCTTGGAATTAAAGTATTAATAAGAGAAAACTTTTCAAATTCCAAAACTTGAGGGCAAATTTTGAAAATATTCAAAACTAATTAATTCCATAACTTATGTGTTTAAAGTAGTTTTAATTTAATAAACGCTTCAAGTTCCATAACTTGAGGACAAGTTATGGAAGACTTTAAATTATTAAAGAATGTAACTTCTTCTTTATTTTGTAACTTATGGAATTAATTAAGGTTAGATATTTTATTACTTAATGAAGTGACTCTTGAACCTCCATAACTTGAGAACAAGACTCTTCATTTTTTTTGTAACCATTGCCAACTTTTATGAGTTTTATGAATCTTAAATGTGTCTTTTAATATAACTTGAGGACAAGTTACAAAAACATATTTTAGCATCAACTCTTAGATTAAAGGGGATCAAACACATAATCAATTAACCTTTCTATTAATCTAAGTAACTCATAAGAACAAGATAATTCAGATCAAACTTTTTCATGTAATTAGTCTAAACTTTAAACTAATACAAAACATGAATCTATTGACAATTATCTTTGAAATTGGATTAGCATGAACATTACCACATCAAAATCAAGTTTATAAGTCCAAAAACATCTTAGGGTAATGTTCCTAGTCCAATTCCATCCAAAAAAGTCAAATATGTTGTTTGGGGGGTCCAACTTGTCGAGTGCACGAACCAACTCGGCGAGTTGGATCGATTTGATCACTTTTTAGGCATGGACTCACCGAGTCTCCTGATGGACTCGCCGAGTCTGATGATCAGATAGCAACAACTTCAATTTTTTAAGCAGTTGTGCAAGTATAACAAGAAAACAAGCCTAGGCTCTGATACCACTGTTGGGTTTTGAGCATTCTAACACTCCTAAGTGTACATGCAACCCTAAATACCTTGGATCTATGTTTTCTCAATTATACATGAAAACATGAACTTCTAAGGTATTATCCTAATCTAGCATACAAAACAATAAATATAACAAGATAGAATACATACCTCTTTGATGTAGAATGTCTTCATGAAGCTTGAGTGCCTAGTGCCTCAAGTGTGACACCTCAAATGGTTCACACAACACCAAATACACTTGGAATAACTTGAGAAAATTCTACAACTCATGAAATCAGCTAGCCCTTCTTTTACACACACTAGTGGCCGATTTTGGTGAATAATATGATGCTTATATAGTGTGTTACACCATGTAAGCCCTAATTGTCATGACCTTTCATTTCCATCACCCATGGGTTACATAACCTCCATGGAGAAACCATGGAGTATCCTATGGGTTCAACCCAAGTAGATAATCCATGGAGCATTAGCCCACTATATAAGTATGGATGATTTACACAATCAACCCATATATTTAATTAGTCTTCCTTTGATCACATAATTAATTCTAAATTAATTCTTGATCAATACTAATTAAATATTATTATTCTTATTATTACTATACTAGAACTTATAATATATTAATAACCATAAGTGTCTTATTTCTCTCACATGGTCTATCCAAGTGCATGATGCCATGCAACCCAAATGGACCATGTCGGGTCGAGTCAAGTCTTACCATTTATAGTTATGGACTTAGATATTAATCCAACACATATAACTTGAAAAATTTCATAACTGCATCAACAATTATGTCAATTTCCTGATTTAGGGGAGCATAGTCTTGTTGAACAACAATTATTACCTTGCTCATATCGTCTCGAAGTTCTTGAATTTTTAAGTTCACATCCTCCCTAACCTTCTTGAGATCTTGAATGAACAAGATGTGACATTCATTCGCAACATCTTTCAGCTCTCTGAGATCTAAAGAGAACGTAGATAATTGATTCTTCACTCGTTTCTCATTATTTCTGTAAACATCATAAATTGCATCACAAAGACGACCTACTTGTTGTTTGAGCATAAGATCAACTTCAAGATTTGATACCGAATGTTTCCCTCCTCCATCGGCTTGAATTTTTAATAAATAATTGAGCTTCCAATTCAGGATTTTGAATTGTTTACCTGTAAGAATTATATTATCTAGAATATCCTCTTTTTCTGTATCAAACTGAATATCTCCAAAAGTGGCACCAAAAACATTCTTATCATCATCAGATGAAGTATGAGCTTCTTCATGAGTAACCAGGGGTTCGGTAGATTGTGAACAAAATAATGAAGTAATAGGTTGATTGAGAATATTATCGAAAGTGGGTGAGTTGGTGTCAAGTGAAGTAGTAACAAATGGAGGTAAGTTGGTGGAAGTGCTAATGGTTGAAGTTACGAAGAGAGAAGAAACAACAATAGGAGTACCTTGAGGCTGTGAAGTTTCAACATTTGACACCAAAGGAAGAAAACAATGATTGGTTCAGGTTGAGGCACTTGCGAAGAGATAACAATCATTTCGACATTTTAAGTGTCTGAGATGTTGTCACCGGAGGATCCTGAATAGCGTCTTCTTCTATAGATTCATCATTAATCACCAACTTTCGAAGTTTCTTTTTCTGTTTCTTGGAAATGTGTTTGGCCACATCTTCGGCTTTGCGTTTCTTTGCTGATGGGGAAACAGGAACGGGAACTTCACGAAGTACAACACCTTTTCTTGTAACACGTGGCTTGCAAATCATGGATGGAGAAAAACTAGGAGACCGGTCAGATTAACTTCTTGTCTTGTATGCAATCTTCTTGATTTTCTTGAACACCCTATTTTTTGAAGAACCACTTCCTTTGGAGGTTCATCAGTCTCTATTCAATTCGTGTTTCCTCAGGCTTTGAAACAGCTACTTCTTCCGGTTGTGTCTTTTTTGGAGACTTTGATCTTTTCTTCTCCTGAATTGGTTTCATAGGAATCTCCTCAACCTTCTTTAAACATTTAGAGCATTTGGAAAAACCCTCTTCAGATCGAGGTAATAGAACACCAGTCTCCATTGAGGGATTGATAGTCTTCAAGTAAGCTTGTAAAACTGAATTTGAAGGATCACGTTTTTAAGAATTCCATCAGGAATCATAGAAACATTAGGAAATTCCTCAACATCATCTTCAACTGCCTTCGGAAAATTAAACTTCAAAAATTCTGTTGTGGCCTCATCATTTGATACCATAATATCTTCCTCTTCATATGCAAATCTAAGAATCAAACTCCAATATCTTGTACAAGAAATCCCATCCTCCACATTTGTGTTTTCAACACTCTTGAGAAATTCCTTCCATATTTGTGTAGCATAATCCACAGGAATATGCCAAATAGAAAATTCCAAATACAAGGGAGGCTTGATTTCTTGAATTCACTTATCTTAGTAAGAGTGGGTTGATAACCATCTTGTTGAACATAGGCAAAACTTGATCAGTTGTTACTTTGTAGAAGGGAGGTGAATTGGCTATTTCCAGGATTTGATAGAAAAGTTTCTTAGACAAACGAAACTACTTTTCATTGATCAGATTGAAGGTGATTACATCCAATGTTTTGCTATATGTGGCAGTTGAACCTGCAAGTGATAGCCAAAATATTAGAACAACAAAGGAACTGAACATTGCAGTCTTCAGAACAGAGTGTTGTAAAGCCACAATCAACATCTGTAACGCTTCTGGATAGATGGAGACATCACTCTCGACTTGATAATTTGTGCTTTAGATCTTCATGATGGGTTGTGAAGAAATATCTTCTGCGGTTTCAGATGGAGCATCAACAGTAGCGGGATTAGCCAAGATTAGGGTTTCATGATGAATAAAGAAGACAAAGAGTTCTTTTTGCGATTTCAGAATTTTCAGAAAGCGTAACCGTGTAATGAACCCTTAAAACCCTTTTTATAGGTGACTGTCACACCCCCGAACCGTCAGAAAAACAACGGCGGAAACGCCCAGGGGCGGCGACGTCATACGTAGTATCACAACAATTGTATCATAGCAATCAAAATAAACACAACCATTACATTACAATATGAATATTTGCATCTGTTGAAAACATAGTTTGTACATATCATTACATACCAAAAGATAAAGATGAGACTCCAAAAATGCTCCGTCTTCACTAAAAGCTGGTATGGTACCTATCTATCGTTGCCCTGAGAATACAAACGGTTTTTGAAAACGTATCATCATAAAGTTGGTGAGTTCATAAGCATGTTTTTGTATTGAAAACTAGTCACTGAGTTTGTATAAATAGTTTCTTTCATTATAAGTAAATATCATTTGTATCGAAAACCGTTGTTACCATGTTCTGAAATATGTACGCATGTTTACCAAGAATATCCAATATTTTCTAACATGTTTGTTGGTTTTTGAATAAAAGGTACATTCTGTCTGAAAACCCTAGCTACCACCAGTATGTAATGTATGATCGTTAGGAAAACCCTGGTTACCACCAGTATGTATAGTAGTTTCATTACTTAAAATTAAACTATAGATTTTGTCCCTGGAATACCCTCCAGTAAGTAGATAAGTAGTTTTATTAGTTAAAATAAAACTATAGAAGAAAGAAATCCCGTAAACAATAATTAGTTTATACTTATTGTGAGTCGTATAACCATACTAATTTTACCTGTGACCTCCTTGATGTTCTTCAGGCATCGTACGATTACAAAATTTGTCACCCCAGGCATGCCCGCCTAACTGTAGCTAACAGTTCAGGTGTGGGATTGTCGGTCCCGAATAGATCTATTCACAAATTTCACTCTCTCCCTCCAGGAGACTTTGGTTATACTACCGGTGAGGATTTATTTGTACCCCAAGGGGCAAAGCGAAGATAGTCTCACAATCCTGTATTAACTAGTTTACGTGTTTATTCGGTTGTTCTCGAGTTCGAAATCGTTTGTGACGGTGTAGAGTATAAATAATTATACATAAAATAATTATTTAGCATGGTACTCTAGTTTTGTATTAGTAGTAATGGATAAACTAAATCTGACATAGTTTATATGTTTGACTTTGCATGAAGTTTGAACCTGTAAGACAGGTAATGAAATCCCAAACTATACCTATTATATTTTGAATGGTTGTTACGTTCGGGTATGGTTTTGAATACTATGAAATAATGAATTGAAAAACATCCCTTATGCTCCGCATAATACAAGAAGGATAATTGTATCTAAACGTTTGATAAAAAATCATTGTAATTGTATCAGTTTTTAAGTTATGAAAACCTTTATGTTTAGCTTGTATTCCCCCTGAAAACATGAAAAACTCGGAAAAGTGTAGGGGTATGAACTCATAGTTTAACGTAGGATTCGAGTGTACGATCGATATGAGTGCCGAGTGTCAATGGATGTTCTGAACGTAAGTGGACCCTATTAATCATATGATAACACATATATGTATTAGATTAGGGTATTTCATGACTAATCATGATGGGAGACCATCCTAAGGTCTTGGAATTGTTTGAACTAAGTGTTCTAGGTTCCATACGTAGTGATCCTTGCAAGTTTAAGGCCAAGTATGAGCATTAGAGTGGTTGTATGGCCATAAAAGTGAGTGTGCGGCTTTACATAGGGTGTGTGCGGTCATAGACAGGAGTGTGCGGCCGTACACTCCTTGTTTGATCCCGAAATGTTGGTTTTTAAGGTATTCCAAGTTCCAAACCGTGTTTTAATTCAAATATAGGGGCCATACTCTCACTTTGGAGGGTATTTGAGTGTGTGCGGCCACCTTATGAAGGTGTGCGGCCGCACTCCTTCAAAGGATGAAGAACATGAAGAACACTATTAGTTTTAGGCTTAGATTCAAGTGTTTTAGTAGTATAACAAGCTGATTGATGGAGTAATTCACATTTTTGAAGCCCTTAGAGTGTTCTTGGATGAAGTTTTTAGAAAGAGAAAGTACTTATAGAAAGTAGAGTGCAACCATAGAGAGAAAAGAATGAATGAAGGGGTCCTCCTATTTATATAGAGGCGAGTGTGTGGTTGGGGATGGGTGTGCAGCTGCGTGTGCAGCTGGCCGGCCGCACACACCTTCCTTGGTGTGTTTGGCCCAATTTTGTGACGTCACAATCCTTCCATACCTTCTTAAGACTCATATCTAAAATATACTAAGTCTAAAGCACTCATATGGACCCACAATTTCGCTAGAAGATGATAAATTTGAGTGAAACATTGATACACGGATCGATTGTACATGATAAAAGTTTTGGGTTGTCACATCATCCCCCGTTAGGGACAATTTCTTCCCCAAATTCAGAAATATGGATACAAATGATGGATTTGGAAAAGATGAGGGTACTTCTATTTCATTGAATCCTCGCACTCCCAAGTGAATTCAGGTCCCCGCTTAGCATTCCAGCGAACTTTGACTATCGGGATGCAACTTTGTTTCGTTCGTTTGACCTCTCGATCCATGATTTCCAATTGTTCTTCCACGAAGTTCAGATTTTCATTGATTTCGATTTCGTCAAAAGGGACCACAAGAGTTTCATCGGATAGGCATTTCTTGAGGTTCGAGACGTGGAAAACGGGATGAATGTTACTGAGTTCATGCGGTAAACGAAGTTTGTAAGCTACAGGACCAATCCTAGCAAGGATTTCGAATGGTCCGATGTACCTCGAATTTAGCTTTCCACGCTTTCCAAAGCGTATCATCCCTTTCCAAGGCGAGATTTTCAACAAAGCACGGTCTCCGACCTGGAATTCCAAGGATTTTCGTCGTTTATCGGTGTAGCTCTTTTGTCTATCTCGGGAGGCCTTAAGTCGTTCTCGAATTTGTACAATCTTTTCAGTGATATTGTGGATGATTTCTGGACCAGTGAGAGTGCTATCATGGACTTGCCCTTTGGCTAGCTGCGTGTTGCCCACCTCAGCCCAACATAGAGGGGATCTGCACTTGCGGCCATAGAGGGCTTCGAAAAGCGCAGCCTTGATACTGGTATGATAACTATTGTTGTATGAGAATTCAACCAAAGGAAAATGGATGTCCCATGATTTACCAAAGTCGATGACACATGCTCTCAACATGTCTTCCAAGGTCTTGATGGTTCTCTCACTCTGTCTATCAGTCTGAGGATGATAAGTTGTACTCATATCCAGCTTAGTTCCAAGAGCTTTCTGAAGGGACTGCTAAAATCTCGAAGTGAATATGATGTCTCGATTGGAGATAATGGACACAGGTATACCGTGCAGTCGGACTATCTTGGATGTAGATTCACGTGAGTCTTTCCATCTTGAAAGTTTCTTTGATTGGGAGGAAGTGAGCGGATTTCGTCAATCGGTCGACTATTACCCAAATGGTATCGTACCCACTCAGAGATTTGGGTAATTTATTAATGAAATCCATAGAAATCATCTCCCACTTCCTCTCAGGTATCTTGGGCTGCTGGAGCAAGCCCGAGGGCTTTTGATATTCGATCTTCACCTTGGCGCAAGTCAGAAACTTGCCCACGAAGGTAGCGATCTCAGCTTTCATATTTGGCCACTAATACAGTCTCTTGAGATCGAGGTACATTTTGTCCGGTCCTGGATGAATGGAGTATTTGGTCTTGTGAGCTTCGTTCATGATGATTTTTTTTAACCACCAAACTTTGGGGTCCAGATCCGGTTCCTAAAGTAATAGACTCCATCTCCCTTGATTTCTAGGTTCTTTTCCATTCCTCTCAGGGCTTCACCCGGCATGTTTTCTGGTTTTAAGGCTTCCAACTGAGCCTTTT